TGAGGATTGGGGTGGGGCTTTCTGCCTGGGGTGGGATAGGAAATTAACTGAGCTGCAAGATCCTTTCCAACTCTGCACTCTATCATCCTATTTCCAATTGCATATCTATCCCTGATACTCACTCCGTAGTTTCATCAGTAAAATTGAGCTAACGTTTTCTTCTTTATTGTATGGTTGATGGGTTCTAAAGATCAAATAAATACTATATATGAAAGTCCTCTGAAAATTGCTAATACTGGAATTACAAAAATTCTTAATTCTTTCCTACTCTTTTCTTTTTTTTTTTCCTTATTTAACAACCTCGTACCAGCTGAGTGGCTGTTGTATGACATATATAATAGTTTACATATATTATTATCCAATTTACTTATTTTTCATGCTCTAAGATTTTTCTCTTGTTAAAGCGCCATTCTATTATTTTATTTCTAAACTGTCTGAGATAAGTAAAACTCTCAAAGTTTTAAATTTGGATAATACTAACTAAATAAAATACTAGAAAATATTAAATTAAGTGGAAATTCTCTGTACCTGAATCTGTCTCATTCTCCTTTCACGGGAATAATTGTGATTAGAGACAGATTACTTCTCACCATTCATGCCCTTTAGAAAAAAAGTGAAAAAAAATAGAGAGTATTGATTCTGTATGATAGATGTTCATTTCTGAGTAGGGCGTATTATATTCAAATTGATCCTTTAGAACTCTGTTTTTTTCCCTTTCACTCTTTAGCTTAATTCATGCTTGTCAATTTCTTTGAACAGTGACTCACTTCCAGTGCTTCTATGATTTTCTCTTCTCCATTCTAAGCACCTTACAGTGTATTTATGAAGTTTTGGCTCTATTGTTCAGCCCTGTGCAGAGTCAGAGCTATAGAATCTTAGACAAAAACGGTCTCTGCAGCCATCCAGCTCAACACCCTCATTTCTGGATAAAGAGAATGGGACCCAGCCCCCATCACACAACTGGTTAGTCTTTGAGTCAGAATCATGACCCAGGACAGTTTCCATTATTTTGTAGTTGCTTGATTGTTTCATGTGTATGTTTGGTTAGAGAATTTGTTGTCAGGGACCAAGCTTTTTCCCCCTCATCCCAGGATTCTTCCGCATTTTCCCTGTTGAGTGTAGATACAGGAGAATGTTTGGGAGCTGCCCTTTTGGATGCAGATGCCAATGGTATACAAGTATCCTTTGGTCTAGTGCTATTTTTAAAGTATCTTCAATTTTTACTGTAATATCTAAAACATATTTCTTACATGTTCATCTATTAGTAGAGCTGTTTAGTGTTATATATAATTCAGATTTTGTATTCTCATAGTTGTCCTGACACAGAGAACTAAATACCTCTATATTAGTTAGTGATCAGATAGAATTGTATTTTCTGAGAACTTAGAATACTCTGACAAGGTTATATGAAGCAAGGTCTGTATCTCAGTATTTGATGGGCCCTTCTAAGTTTTCTCTAAATTGTGTAGTACAGAAGAGCTTACCTGGAACAGTGCCCCTAAAACCTGGCCAAGTATGATGATTACCTCCCCCTCCCCCATACCACCTGAATTGGGACCCCTGAAGTTGGGACATGTCCATCTTTATGTTTAAAGGGCTCTATAGTAGAGAACATTAGCTTAGAAGAATAGTGTCGTTGAGATGGTGGAGGCCTCTCTTTAAAAGAAGTGGCTAAGTTGGGGAAGAGTGCTGGTATATATATAGTTGGGGAGGAGTGGATGTATATATAGACATCTTATGGAAAGGTACAGATGGATTTTCTGCACCATTGTAATTACTTGATTGCCTCTGGGATATGTCTTTCAAGCCCAAGTAGCAGTTGAATTGCAGCTACAAACCTTCGTAGATCCAGAAAGGAGTAACTAAACTGGACTGTGGCTTCTGCTGCTGCGATTCAGAAGTACTAGAAACCTGTTATTAGAAACTGCTACTTTATCATCTTGAGAAGTGGCTGACCCAAACCTATTGAAAGTTGTAGTAAGGTTGGTTCTGTGGCGAGACATCATGGTGTCCATTTTACTGTTATCTGTCAATTAAATCTCTCTCAGTGCATGTATTCAGTATCAGATATAACTGCACACCGTTTTTGAGGCTGCCATGTTGGTATTCCATTAAATAGTAAAGAGATGTTAATAAAACAAAAATCCATACGTTAGAAAGTCACAGAACAGTCAAGTGGTCACAGAAGTTTAGTTTATAAAAGTGGAGAATTAGCAAGTCAGTTTCAGCTTGGAATCTTTTCTGAGCCTTGCTTTGGGCTGGGGGCTGTGGATCACAGCAAAAGCCTGAAATCAACTTTTGAGCCAAGACACTGTTTTCAAAGGAGGCAAAGTTGTATAGACTGATACTTGTGATTAAATAATAGTTACATATTATTTCTTGAATATAGTGAGACAGAGAATGATCATTTTTCTCCTCTTCAACTTGAGAAGGACTCTAGGGATCATCTAATTTAAAATTTCACAGATAAACAAACAAACAAAAAAACCATGACGAGTGTATCTTAATAGATATTTAGAGACAGGAGAACTTTGTTTCTGTCTTAGTAGTGGGTCACCACTAAATTCGTGTGTATATGGACCATATGACATTTTCATTTATTCAACGGAGAGCTGAGAGGGTCTGTGTTTAGCACTTGAATATTGGACATGATTCAAATGTGAGTCAAGTGTGTCTGGAGGCTTTATTCATACCTACTTTCCTTTAGTCAGCAATGCTTCATAATGCCCTGGCTTCATGAATTAATTTTAATGGAATTAAACTTGAACAGCTCAAAATTATATAATTAATTTCATTCAACTGCAATTAAAGTTACTAATTGAATCAAGCCTGCTAGCATGACACCTGGCGGCAGTCGGCTACATAGCAGTAGCAGCAAGTATGTAGGACCCTGCTGGTGAGAGAGTTCCTGTGTTCTAGTGAGTCTGCATAAAAATCTTTTCTGTTGATCATCTGAAGAAGGCTCTGTAGCAGTGGAAAGGTTTCTGGAGTTGTTGAAAAAAGTAAAGATTTTCCTTGAAAGTAACACATCTCAGGAGGATTACATTTTTCTCTCTGATAATGCTGAGTAAATGTTACGTAAATCTAGTGCATACTGGTTTAGCATGCTTCTAATTTATATTCTACTGCTATCTGAATATGGTTTTGCTTTCTAAAAATACTTAGCATCAAAGACCCTACTTTTTTCAGAATTATTAGCCTCTGGACTTATTCCTAAGTGACTGTCCGTCTATGTTCATGTGTTGAAATGTTTCAGGGCAGGACTTTTCAATTGTGAAATCCCCAATGGTACATGAGAAATTTCTGCATGTGCAGAAATTTTTCCCTTCCACTGGAAATGTTAATACAGTTGACTAACAACTTCTGTTTGAATCTCTTTCCTTTCCTTGCTTCCACGGCTTGACGTCATCTGGTTTTTTCTTCCTTCTCTGACTCCTTTCTAATTGTACAGACCCCTCCTGACGCTCTTCCTTTAAAATACTGTTTTGGTGAGCCTCGTTATTTGAATGGCTTTAGCAATCACGTTTAGGAAGATGGCTGTTTCTAGCTGTCACTTTACTTGTGACTAGCAAATTCACATGTTGGTTCAACGCTAAACTCATCCACTAGACTGTAAACTGCATGAAGGCCTGGGCCGTGTCTTATGATTGGTTGTATCCCCACTGCATAGGATGATGCCTAAACAGCTACTATGTACAAAGCGGTATTTTAAAAATTATTTTCCTGGTCTCCAGGTTTTTTCCCAGTCAAATCCAGACTGAGAGAACTCAGTCATCTCCAGTCCTTTCTTCTCTGATAATCTGTGAAACCTCTAGTTATTTTCTCACATTTACCTTCTTTCCCATCTTGTTATCCAGTTGATGACACTCTTCATCAATTTCTGCCTGGACTGTGCTGAGTCTCCTTTTGGTTTCCCTTCCTCTGTTCTCCCTTCTCCATGCGCCCGCACTCCAGTGATTAGGATGTACATGCAGGTGAATCACCTAAGCACCCCTCCCCCAAATTAAAATAGAATCTTACATGATGGGGCCCAGGGATCTGTTTTTTAAAATAGACCGTGAGTTAAAGTACAGTCAGGATTGAGAGCCACTCGTGTGTACAAGTTTATTGGTCTTCCTAATGCATGGCTTCCTTCCATTAGGCAATTCATAAAGCTGCAGTGACTACTGTCACTTATTTATCTTGCTTTTAAATTAGGTCCAGATTTCTCACCTTGGCATTCAAATATCCATAACATGTCCCCAGTCAGACCTTTACCATGTTATCTCCTAATGTGCCCCGTAAAGTACTTCACAGTCCAGATTGGAACTTTTGCCCGAGTGTCTGTTTCTGGAGTTTGCCCATGCTGTTCTGCCTCCTGGAATTGCCTTTCTCCCATCTCTACTTTGAGAATTCCTGCTGATCTTTTAAAGACCATCCAGCTCGGACCATTTTCTAGAGTGCCTTTCTTGAGCTCTGAATCCTGATGAGTTTCTTCTTCTCCCTTTGAACCTCTCTAGTACTCCTGGACCTCTGATAACATTCATTTTACCCTGTGTTTGAGTCCGCTTTTTTGCTTGACTTATGTTGCCAAGAAGACATTACTTTCCCTTACTTATTGATTTGCTCCCTGAGAACCCATAAACGCACATATAAAGCTGTCATCTTCTTTGATTCTTTCCCTGCCACCCTACCCTCGACATGTATAGACTCACTTCTATCCTTGATGTAACCTTTCCATATTTTTCTTATCATGGTAAATTATTTGCTGTATTATGATGACTTGCTTACAAGAACCTTAACAGATAATTTTTACAGTACAATCTGTTTCTTCAATGCTAGTGATATAATAGGTGCTCAGTAAATCTCTGTTACTGAGTCAATAACATCTAACAGTCAGTGGAGATACTGCTGCCATTTTTTAAAATGGCAGATTTAGGAGCATTTAGAAAAAAATCTATAAATGCAAAAATGGAGAAAAATATGTAGCATTTAATGATAATAAATTTTTTTTAATTTAGAAAAATGTGATAAAGAAAATACTGAGCGAGAGATATCTCAAGCTACCAATAGCTGCTTCACTCATGGAGAGATCCAAGACCAGTCCATTTGGGGAAACTGTTCGGATGACGAACTCATCAGAAGTAAGTACTTTTGGAGAAAAATGGAGTGATTTGGGGACATGACTATAATATACTCTCAGTTAACTGTCTCATATAATTCTGTTAGAAGTCTGTAAATCAGAGTTTAGCTGAAAGTGTTTTTATGAGTCTTTTAAAGTAGAGCTAAAACTAGGATGTAAGTAATACCGTCTGCCAGCTTTTCTTTAGGAAGGAAGAATCGACCTGTAAGTTTTGGACTCCATTTACAGGTTTAGACAAAACTTAATTCCTTCTTGAGCAGTGACAAAGTAGAAGTCAGACAGTTCTAAGTATAAACAGACTGAAACTAAAAAGGTACAGAAAGACGAAGGTGACGGACCACGAGCAGTACTTCAGTAATGCCATGTGGCCCCTATTCTTTGGGCCAAAGGATCCCAAACTGTTTTTCACAATTAACGTTTTTTATCACTACTTAGTTTCTTTTTATTCTCTTTCTCTTCTTAAAATTGCCCTGTAGAATATACACAGAAGCTTTGGTTCAGTGTTCTCTTACTCTGGGAATACCCAGAAATGCCGGTACCTTTCGGGTGCTACTGAGAATGCCGATTACGTGGCAGGTTCTGCTGGTACTGGTCGCTAAGTTCCCCATGTGAGTTCAAGATGAATTTGCCATGTAACAAACGATTCTCTGTAGTGCATGTGTTAAGTGTGAAGGTCACTGCTGTGCCACACCTGGAAGAGCATAGGAATGCGACATCTTAAGAAATTCTCATTCCTGGTTACCAAGTTACCACGTCACTGCTTAGTTTTCCAGAGAGGACAGAGGAGAAGTTTCATTCTGGGAATTAAGTAGTGTTTTACTTTTTAGATTTAAGTCTTCAGTTCAGACATTTTTATAACACGGACTCTTTTTTTGTGTGTTACATATTATATTACTTTGAATCTTGGAATATTGCCTTTTCTCTCTAGAATGCCCAGTATCTGTCCCTAACTGAAATCAAACAGAAAAAAGCGATAAAAAAGAAGGAAAAAGCCAACTTCGTAGAAAACAATAAAAATAAAAACACTGTTGAAGGACATTTCAAGTTTTTAAACAAAAGCTCTAAAAGTGAGTGTGTTTTAGTTTAATTTTGGCTTCTTAACACTTTTCTATTGGGCGAGGGAGTAGGAAGGAAATGAGACTCAGAAATTAGTGAGGAGCCAGATTTATATAGCTTTTTCCAAAGAATTAAATAGACATTATCTCAAGTAAACATTTATCCCCCAAACATATATTGGTTGTCTTCTGTCTAAATATTGACTCTGCTGTTGTGAAACGTCAGCTTTTGTGAGATGCTGGCCTATTTCATCTGTGATTTCCCAACAAGCAGAGAGTCAGTGAGAGCGAGAAGAGGTCTTACAGACAATTTTACCTCCACCTTTTTGGGGGCATGATGATTTGCTCATTTTTCTTTTCCATAGTCACAGAATTTAAATGTGTGTGTTTCATTTAATTGATTTATTTCCCTAATCTCCCTTCCCAAGGCCCGCAGTAGGAAAACGTGAATAAGAAGTCTTAAGACAAAAACAGAAACATAAACACTGTTAATATAAAGATATGGAGAATCTCATGTTGATGTGTTAAAAATGTTTTGTGTTGTTTGGTGAAGCTCATTTTAGTCGCAGAATTCATTCCATCAAAGGGAATGGATTTAAAATGAGCCACTGTCTCTTGTTTAGAATGGTTACATGGATAGTGATTTTTAAATGTAAATTTCATATAAGTTTCTTTATTGCATTAATGACGCAGCCTATACCATGGGGCACTGGAGCATTGGGGAACAACCGTCTAGTTGCCCACTAATATGCACTGAAGGAATGTGGAGAGAGAGATTTATGGCCCCCTCTGAGAGGGCTGCTGGGAAAACCTGCAGGCGAACAGATATGCAAGAGGTAATGGCCAGAGACAGTAACTCTGCTCCTGCCTGAAACCTAAGTTGCCAAGAATTTCCAGATACTTGTGGGTGACTTTAGACTGTGAATTCTGCTTACAAATTTCAGAAACTACATTTTTGTTATTTTCCTGGTCGCACTTTTCTAGACAAGGACTGCTTTGTTGGGTCCACAGAAAAATCTGATATCTGGATTTGCCAGAATGGAACATTTTATGTCATCTTTAAAACCAGTTCAAGTCTGGATAGCATTTGCAAGTTTGATATTCTGATAGCTCCTGCTATTCCAACTCCCAGATATGAAACTCTCCAAAGCTGCCTGACTTTCCATCTTTGGCTTTCCCTGTTGAGTCGTTGGCCATCCTTGCGTCATTAACGTCTGTCTCTCTGAACCCTGCATTTAGGGAGAGGTGTGTTTTCCTCTGGATTCAGCACCTAGCCCTTTTGTGGGGCCCAGTGCATCTTGTGTAATAACAATAGGCCCTGGAAAGAAGGCTCTGGCTCGAGCTGCATGGGGGAGGAGGGGAACATCTGTGGTGAGTCAGGGCCGGGCTGGCTCCCGTGCCAGGAGTCCTGTGTGGCTCCCTGAGCACCGTGGAAGAGGCGGACAGCTGGCTCTCATGGAATTGATTTTCGCGTTCCCACTGTACTGTGGGGTTGGCTGGATGGAGGGATCATCAGAGAAATGAGGCCGGCTGGGGTGTGGGAACATTTTCAAACGCACAGCCCACTCTTTTTCCAAGCTTCCATGGGACAGTTCAGCTGCATAAGCAAGAAGTGAAGGAGAGTGACTCTGTTTACTGTGACTTCTTTCTCTGTTCTTGAGAGTGGTTAGTGAGGGCTGGAAGCTGACGTCTCTGTCGTCCCGGATGCCTGCTGCCTTCTTTGTTGGACATTTAAGCCATAATTTATAGGGGACTGTTAGTTGTCAGCGTGATGAGGCTGTTTTTACTTTTCTGAGAATAACTGAGCTCTGGAAAGTCAAGGGAGTGGCTGCTTTGGAAATTATATCCTAATTAAAGGGTGTATTCTCAGGCCTCATAGACGAGATCCAAGCTGAGAATAATTTCCAAATTATTCTGTGAACTTTAACCCTGACCTCAGTGGACCACCCACTTGTGGCTGACACTTGGTACATGATCTGCACGGAAGTCTGAGCTTTGTGTGCCTCCCCTGGTCCTTCTAGAACACATCGCAGGTGGCAGACCTGAGGTGCTGTGCTGTCAGGGCCTGGATTTCAAATTGGTTGCCCCTGAGTTGCTAACTTATTAGAGAGAGTCCTTTCTGGCAGTTATAAATAAAAGAGAAGAAATCCATATGGAGTCGAACATTTTGAATAAATAGGCCACATGCAATCTGGTCAGGGAATGTGCATTGTGATCCTCTTTCTTATGACATTTAAATTAAAAAGATGATTCCAACCACTAGAGTTTGTTAAAAAAAAAATCTAAATCAAACCAGTAAAGAATTAAAAACATAATGGCAGTTTTGTGAGGAAATGTTACAGTTGCAAAGTTTTTTTTTTTCATTTTCCAAAATTTTAGCCTTTTTACAATTTAAAAGGCATTCATAAGCTGAGAAAGTAGTTTGGTATATAATGTAATTTCTGGAATGGGGCTCACATTTTAGAATTTATGAGAGCACTGATTACGACTTTGGCTTTTCCCCTCAAATTAGCATATATGGGACAGTATATGATTCGGAGCTATGCCTTGTTTTAATAATCACTATTCCTCTGACTTAGTAAAACGAATGTTGCAGTGAAGTGACACCCTCAATTAATATTAATTTTTCTATTTAACCCATAATATGCATAAACTAATAACAGGCAATAGGCAACATTTCATGCTTTAATTAGACTAGAAAAGGAACAGAAGTAACATTTGATCTCAGTCTTTGGGGGGATTTCTAAGGTGGGAAGGAGTGTGTGTGTGCGCCTGTGTGTGTTCCTTTGCTTATATTCATAGGCGTGAGTAAATTTTCCTTTAATTTAGGTCAAATTCCTCTATTCTACTTACTTCCTACAGAGAGCGAGAGCTTACATTTTTCTTTGTTCCTCTTTCTAAAGTGCCTCAGGTCTCTATCTCAGATTTTTCTAGGTCTTTCTGAAAATTCTTATTACTTAACTTTATCCTTGGACGTTGCTTTTTACATAAACGCCTCCTGATTCTAAATGTCATTACTTAACTCCAGAAATTTTCCTTAGCTTCTCTTCTGAAATAAATTTCCCATTAAATCAAACTATTTTGTTCAGCTAATTCTCTCCTTTGTGATTTTGTAGAATTCCCATGATCTCAAGCAAAGTTAGACTGCTCTACTTAAATGGTAATCCCCATTCTATTTAACCCATTTATTCATTTTGAAGAGTTTTTAGCGCTAGTAACAGTAAGCACTTGGTAGGAGAACGCACGCCCTCTCTCTCATTCGCACCTGCCTCCTCTTCCTGGGGCTGATGCATCCTGCTTCTTCGCTCATCCTACTGCTGGAAGCCTTCCTCTGGGCATCCTGAGTTTCCTCTCCACACCAGCGGGCTCTGCTGTTGGGAACTCTATTATTACTTTGCCTAGCCTTTGCCAGCTTACCACTGATCACCCTTTAATGGGTACGATTGTATCACTTTAGGGAATGTCTCCTCCGTGCAAAGAAAGGCAGATACTACTCAAGTATTCATATACTTGGAGCATTTCTTACTTTGAATATGAGGAAAGAGCACTGAGAAGTGTGGATTTAAAATTTTTTCAGCTGCTCTCACGTTTGAATGCACATTGTATTAAGTATTATTTGGTTTTCTTTAGAACTCACTTTCTATAAAAAGAGGCCATAAATAACCCCCCTCCTCCATAAGTACCACCCAATATGACTGGCAGATGTAGCTTTCGTGTTATGTTTCTTAGGTAACCTGGGATTCTTTCCCTGACACTTATGCTCATTCATTTTGGGAGCCCATATTGGGAGTAAGTCATTCCTACTTACCTCTTGCTCGGTGTCTAGTCCTCTGTCTCTCAAAACAAATTCTGTTTTTCCACATGCTAACCAAATTGTTATGTAGCTGCAGTTCAGATGCTTTGATTATTGTTTTAGAGAGGAATCTTTAACCATCAGTTATTCCCAAATCCAACTCATGGTTTGGTTTCAGGGTCAGGTAGATAATCATCAGCCATTTTTGAAGGCTACCCATGTTAAACTTACTGGTCAATGACAGCCATTAGGCTGTGTTCTAGAAGGGAGCTCAAGTTTCCTGACACACTTCTTCCTCAGGGTGCATTATTCCATGCTCACCTGGGTTCTGCCCCAAATGGGAGGGAGAACCATTGTCCATCTTCTGTTTTGAGCATCTTAAATTCAGAGTCCTGGAGACCAATGGAAGCTGACTGCCAGAGTTCACACCCTGGATGCATCATTACTGCTGGTGTTGGGCAAGTTACCTAAACTCTCTGAGATCGGATTTCCCATTTTTAAAATGGAGGTACTAATTCTATATACCTCATTGTGTTATTTGAAAGATTATATAAGAAAATGTATATTATATGCTTATTTAGCACAGAGCTGAGTAAACCCTCAGTGCACTCAGTGAATTCATCATTTTTTGTTATGATTATTCTTGGGCCCAAGTATTAGTTATAAGGCTTTTTTCTCTCCCTGCCTGGTTCCAGTGGGTTACATGTCCAGACATGCTGGGTACAGAGATCAGGTCTTCCTGAGAACACTGATATCTGTGTCTACCATGTAGCCAGCACGTTGGATCCTCTGTGGTTTATGCTTCATAAGTGCTTGATGCCTTTAGTGTATTGAATTAATGAGAGGAAGGAAGAGATTCTTTAGCTGTCTTGCTTCTGTTGTTTCAGGCTTCAGGGTCCTAAGATGAACATTCCAAATCACTGCATTTTTCCTTTTAGTCCTTCTAGCCCCCATTCTTACTCCCAAGCCATGCATGGTTCATTCATGTCAAGTTGCAGGTGTTTATAGATGAGTCTAATGATGTAAAGCTACCAAGTCCTAAGTGTGACTGCTGTTCACGGGTAAGGCTATTCGGAAGCGTTCAGTGAGCTGTGTCAGTGCTCTGGATAATGTTCACTGTCTGTGGAGGTGGGTGGGGATGACCCTTGATGTGGAGCCTTTTTTGGTGCCCTATTCCTTCTCCTTCTTCCTACCCATAAGAAAAAAGTTCAGGACTACCTTACTTCCCTCCCTTCTTTATTCCCTCTTTCCTTACTTTCTCTCTACCGCCCCTCTCTCCTTCCTTCTCTGCCTCCTTTCTTCTCACATCTTACTCTGCCTTCGTAAATCGGCTTTTAAGTGTTTTGTATTCTAGAAAATACAACGTATGTTTTTATTATTGTTGTTTTTTTAACATTTTTTATTGATTTATAATCATTTTACAATGTTGTGTCAAATTCCAGTGTTCAGCACAATTTTTCAGTCATTCATGGACATATACACACTCATTGTCACATTTTTTTCTCTGTGATTTATCATAAAATTTTGTGTATATTTCCCTGTGCTATACAGTGTAATCTTGTTTATCTATTCTACAATTTTGAAATTCCAGTCTATCCCTTCCCACCCTCTACACCCCTGGTAACCACAAGTCTGTATTCTCTGTCCATGAGTCTTTAGATTCCACATATGAGCGATCTCATATGGTATTTTTCTTTCTCTTTCTGGCTTACTTCACTTAGAATGACATTCTCCAGGAGCATCCATGTTGCTGCAAATGGCGTTATGTTGTCGGTTTTTATGGCTGAGTAGTATTCCATTGTATAAATATACGACATTTTCTTTATCCAGTCACCTGTTGATGGACATTTAGGCTGTTTCCATGTTTTGGCTATTGTAAATAGTGCTGCTATGAACATTGGGGTGCAGGTGTCATCCTGAAGTAGATTTCCTTCTGGATACAAGCCCAGGAGTGGGATTCCTGGGTCATATGGTATATTATTGTTGTTATTCCTAGTAATGTTACTATTTCTTTACCCTTCACTTTTATCAAATACCATGAGTCATTCAATTTCCAATCTATAACCTAGTAAACTTTTGTTAAAGATTTTCGGATAGGCCTTAAATCTTCTGGTCTTTACTGGGGGAGAGGAGATGGTACTGAGTACAGGTGGTGGGTGAGGGCCCAGTGAAGGAGCCAGTTTTATTCCTTTCCCATTTGGGAATCCTTCGAGACTCAAGGAGGAGCTGAGGCCTGGGAACTAGCTTAGAGATCACCCTGAAAATGCTAACCACGGAAGAAATAAACTGCCTTTAATGACCAAGACCATAAATACTGCGGTCTAGATAAGTTTAGTTCTCAAACCTCAGAATTCCTGGATCTGAACACTCTGTGAATTTACACATAGATTATTATTGGTAGAACATGTTGCTATAATGGACTTTCAGGATTAGGAATCAAAATAATAACTTTGAACTGAATAAAAACTCCAGTGCATAACAATGAAGTTCTTATAGTGTGCTGACATTGTGTTGTGTGTTGGGTGGGGATACAGTGATGAACAACGGTACAGGTGTGGTCTCCACATTCAGAATTGACAGTCTGGTGGAAGAGACATAGAGATCATCTTAAAATGATAATGTGTGTTTGCAAGTGGCTGTGTGTTCACATTTGAGAAAGATAAATACTCGGGTAGGGGAGGGGCCAGAGATGGCTTTCCAGAAGAAGTGAGATCTGTGATGATACCTGAAGGAGTTTGCCAGCTCAAGCAGAGCAGGGGAGGGGGTGTGTTCCAAGCCAAAAAAACAGCTCACCTATATAGGTCTAGAGATCAGAGAGAACATGGCTAGCTCAAGGACAGTTGGAGAAGTTTGTGTAAGCTGGATGTGAAATATTAGATGAGGAGTGCAGAGATGGAGGGAAAGGCTTTGTTAACAAAGGGTTAAGGGAAGGCAGAAGGTATTGAAAGGAGTAGTCACTTAAATTATATTTTAGTTTGGCTATATTTTGGAATGATTGCTCTTGAAATCATTAGAAAATAAATTAAGACTGAGAAGGCATTGAAAGATCACCTGGGACTGCTGTAGTGATCCAGCTGAGAAGAGAACGAAGCTTGGACTGGGGGAGTGGCAGGTGGAGTTGCAAGAAGTAGAGGGATTCAGCTTTGTATCGGGTACAACCCATGAGTAAGACTTGGTGGGTAAGGGAATGGCGGGTGCAGGGAAGGAAGCCAAGGTTTTCAGTTTGGACAAATGACAGTTGTGAGGAAAGGACAATGGGGAAAGGATTTAGACATTGTACAATGAGGGTTTGAAGTGATGGGCTGTGAATGTCAGATGGGTAGGGGAAAAAATAAAGACAGGAAGGATCTTATAAATAAGGAAGAAAATCCAGTGAGACTAACAATCCCTAAAGATTTCTGTTTTGTACAAAACAAAACAGGTATAGATGCAGTGAGTGATGAGATAAGTGGGAAAAGGAGACAGAGTATTAGAATGGGGACTATGCATTTATGATTTCTGAGGTGGAATGATCCCAGGTGAGGACAGGGACCAGAGTTTTCCTAGACCAGGACTGCTGGATTGGGAAGAAGTTTTGGAAGCTTTGGAAAAACAGGTGGGGAAACAAATCCAGATGTTTCCTCCAGTCAACATGGCAAAGCTGGGGCTTTATCTGTGTATTTCTTGACACTCAGTCTCTTGAATTCCTCACTGAACCTTAATGGGTTAGTAGAAGGTGGCCAGTTGGTTATCTCTGGGTCTTTGCGGCTTTGCTCTAAGGTTAGTCACCTACTGTAGATGAATGGAATGGTAGGTTGATATTCTGTAGGCTGAGGGCCCTGAAATGAATGAAAAATAATTTCACATTATCGAAGCTGCCAGCTTTCTTTATTTGAGATTCCAAAGGGTCTTCTGCATCTAGTCCAGTAGACATACAAAGTTGGGACTTTTCAAAAAAGGTTAATATCAGCGTGTGTGTATGAAATTATACGTGTGTGTATTTTTTTTTCTTAATGGAAGATGTCTCCTCTAAATAGTTACCTGTAAGTAGTAATGAGAAATGAGTGGGGACTTATCGGTGAAGGGTACTCAATATTCTGCATACTTTCTTCCACATTGTTTTTTCCCAATGAGGTGAATTATTTTACTGTATTAAAACGAGTAATATTTTAAAAAGAAAGTTCTCCCATATAACAAAAATGATCACAGTGAGGGCCCAGCTTCCCAAAGCTACATTAGAGCCCAGGTACCTGTAGGAAATGCGCAGAGGACAGGCAGGCCAGGAGATTCAGTTTCCTTCAGGTTCTGCAGAAGATGGAACCAGCTACATAATTTTGGAGGTGGAGCGCAGTGCATGATGAGAATGCAGAGCCCTTCGTTAAAAGTTACTATGAATTTCAAGATGGCCACGCAGAACATTAAACCCAGTGTGCTGGTCCTTTTTAGCATGGGGCTCCGTGCTCTTGCAGCAGTCACATGCCCAAGAAACTGCGCCTGGCTGGAGCATTGAGGGAACAGGATTCAGTAAGTGAAAAAGAATATCTGGTACCCATTTTATAATGTTTTTATTTCCAATAAGTTACTGCAATTCAAGAATGAAGGAGTTTTTCTGGGCTTGTCAAATCAGTTGACACATTAGCCACACCCAGGAGTAGCTTGCGTAGCTTCGTGAAGCAGCTGCCGTGGGCAGACTCTCGATGGCAGTGGTTCCCAGCTTTCTTCCAGCCACAGAAGGGGTGAGACCTGCTTCCAGCTTTACCAAGGCTGCCTACCAAGAGTGAGGTTGAATCCGAATGAGGAGCAGTGGGGGAGTCCCCTCTCCACTGCTTTCAGGAGCCCCATTGCCCATTCACCTTAGCACAGCTGAGAGTTAGTACTGTGACTTGTCCCATGTTTCTTTCAAGGAGTCCTTCAAGACTTGGTGGTAAATCCGAGCTCCACAATTCTCCACTGGAAACGGTGTTCTTCCCAAGTCCCTGCGTTTCTGTAGCAAGAGACACCAAAGTCAGGGAACTCTCTTAAAACCCTCAGTTGCTGGTATTAGAGGGTGAAATTGCATTAAGTGAACCAGAGAAGAGAGTGGGTGGAGAAATTTGTTCTGCTTTGGCACATTATTTAATTAAATACACTTTCTGTGGTTCTTGAGAACTTGGATTAGGAAATTTGAGGGGGAAAAATAAGATTCCCATCATCTCAAATTGTCACAAATAATTGATTCATGCTGGTGTGATTATGATAAGACCATACGTCTCATCTTTGGATGCTGCCATCACTACTTGTCTTTATGAAAAAGATGTGCACATATCATCTGTGAAGAGGCCTGTCTTTGCAGGTTATCTTCTCCATATTCCTTCAGCATTACAAAGGTGCTGTCATAGTCACAAAGATGAGTGATGGTGTGGGCCGGAGCGGTGACACTACCACACCCAGCGAACAGCGTGGTCGTGTGCAATTAGCATTGTCCTGCTCTTCCTTTGAGTTGTGCTTTTCTCATTGTGCTTCTCCCATAGCCAGTAAATTTTTTAAAGTCTCATCACATCTGAATGTGAAAAGTTACTACTGAGAATGTAAAATTAAACCCATATTCTTACATATTTAGGTCTTCAATATTTTTCACTTTAGCTGGTAATTTAAGGGGACTGATTTTTAGTCTGGCTTTTCATTTTGAAAGAAACAGAACAAAAGCCACTCAGTATTTTTTTTTATTTAATTAGGCATAAATTAAGGATTTAATCCTTTAACAAAAAGATTCCTTTTTAATTTATTAAATTTCAAAGATTATACCCCAATGAAATATATATGTAAATGTAATATATGTAATAGGTAATATATATCATGAGTCTTTTTTAGAGAGGATTAAATAATATTTAATTTTACCATGAAGTCCAAATCTGTTTGGACTATTTCAAGGCAGGCTGAACAATTAATTTCAGGCTACAAGATCTTCTCGTTATTTGAACACTAAATTTGAGCCTAGTTGCCAATCTGGTACCTGGAAAGTAGCGTAAAGGGGTGTTGTAGTACGTTAATTCCCTGGTGACACTGCAAATCAAGTGGCAGAAGCTTACTCGGTCATTGTGGGAACTGGTGTCGAGTGTGATATTGCTGTGTCTATTCACGTCTTCAGCTCTGCTTTCTAGCATGACCTACTTTATCCTTAACTAGCATCTTATTTGTCCTCTAACTCAAGGTTTCCCAGTGTTTCACTGATAAAGGGCTGCTTCTGATTTCTTTGAAATCACACCACTTCTTGCCTCTTCAGCTATCAAGACTTTACATCTATTTTACTTTAACCACCTTACAAATGTGAACATACCTTGGACCTTGCTATCAACAAGATCTGCTCTAAGATTTTGAAGTCAGAAGTTAACTTTTCTCATTCCTTCCTGCTCTTTACCTTAAAATAATTATGCCTCATCTGCTAACTGTGTTCTTTTTCCCCACAGCGTCTTATCTCCTTCACGTGACTACCTTTTTTTTCACGGTCATCTGGGACCTGCAAATGATCTTTCATTATCCCCCTAAATTCTGTGACCTTACTCTGTATCTGCCAAGCTTATGCTGAAACTAAGGGAGCGAGCAGACCTCACCATCGGTCTTCTCACTTCAGAGCTGTGGATCATAGACAGAAAAATATTATAGCAGAAGGAGTAGCTCTCATATACATATTTGATCTCTGATCTCGACAGACATCTCTCCTCCTACCAGATGTGCAATTTCTGGTTGAGTTCCACTTTTGGTCCATTCTTGCCTTTTGATTTTATGACACTGTTTTATAAGGACTCAGATTATATTCTAGTTTCTTCATCACTAAGACATTTGAAGTTATATTTAAGCACCAACTCCTGGTATTCAAAACCAATCCTGGTCTATATGGCTGAAACCTTCATCTATCTTGATTTATGTCATGGAAGGTTTAAATACAACTAAAATGGTCTTTTTATTTGTCACTTTTCTCAGTCCAATGACATCTTCTCAGCCTTCATTTTTTCTGTAGTATTTGACAGGACATGTTTCCTGTTTGAAATTTTCCCCTCCTTCTGCACCTTTCCCCCTCCTTCTGCTTTGATAGCCATGTCTGGCTTCCTCTCAGTCCTTCATGTGCCCTGAGTTCCTTCCTGTCTCTGGACTTTTGCATTCCAGCTCTCCCTCCCAGCTTAACCGTCACTTCCAAAGAGAGGCTTTCCCAGACCTCTCAGTCTAAGTTGGGTTTCCCTCTTTATCGTAGCACCTTTTCCTTTCTAGCCCTCGTCACAGTTTGTCATTATTTTTGCAATTACATGTCTAATGTCTGCTGGCTTTAAGTTGTATCCCCAGCAATTAGCACCATTCTAGGACCACAGCATACTTAGAATAAACTATTTGGGATGATTGACTGTGGGAATAAAATTTGACTTTTTCTTCCACTACTTCCTTTCATGAACTTTTGCCATAGCCAAAATACATTCCTTATTCTTCTCTCTACCTGTCCAGTATTTTCCTTCTCCCAAGCTTCACTCGTATTACCTGCCTTCCACATCTCCAGCCAGACATCTGTGATTTCTCCTCTGTTTGGACTTGCAGAGTGTTTATCTTCATGTCTCCTAAAGGACTCATTAATTTCAAAGTTGTAGTGTGCCAGTGGATGGCCCTCGTCCCTGTCACTGAGCTGAAGGCTCCTTTAAGGCAGAATTGGCATGTCTTTTAGTTTTGTAGCCCTCACAGCATCTAGCCCAGGGCCATGCACGAGAGCTTGTTCCCAATACATACATGTTAATTGTTGAATAAATGAAAATCTGTACCTTTTGACTACAGTTAGCTTCTCTGTAGGAGGCTGACAGCTTTGAATTGGTTAAGCTGTAGTAATTTGTCTTAAAATGCGGATTGACTATCTTTGCTTCTCTTAAGGAGCTAATTTTCTCAGTCTACAGTTCATGCATATTCAAGGATTTTTTTATCAGTTATAGTAACAATGTTATTACTTAGAGCTTTTTACAGTTAATGAAAATTTTCATATTGATGATCTAACTTGGCTTACCGGCAACTTTATCAGACAGGTGGGATAAACATTATTTATAGATGAGACTGAGCTCTGAAAAGTCAAGTGGTGGGCCTAAGGCTGAACAGCTAATATCCTGATTATTTAGCAGTGATTCGCACCTGGGTGGTGTGGAACAGAGCAAAGGGTAAGGACTTTGTGTTGTTTATGGTCCCACAGAGATTATATTAAAATCACAGAAGGAAATGGCAGTTTCCCCAAATTACAGGCTTACTCCAAGCTGAAAATTCTAACCCATTTCCCTAGTTGGGAGCTGTTGCCATTCTACCACAGTTAATCAAAGACTACCTTCTGCCTTTGTGCTAGGTCAGAAGAAAGTGGAGAAAATTGCAATATACTATACTCCTTTGGAATGTCATCTTTGTTGTGATAAATTCAAGACAGTTCCTGGGCTTCATATATACTTAACGTCTTAGGAAAAAGGGCTTCTTTAGTTTTTAGAACTGTTTACTCATTGCCTCCGTGAGAACTTGTTCTCATTCCAGCAGATAAGCAGAGAGTCGATTGCATCTGCCATTCTTTTTGTGGTATGAAGGTATGCATTTTCCTTCTGCAGAAAAAAAGATCTTAATAATGGAAGCCAAAAAAGACCTGGGGGAGTGGGGAGAGGTGAGGTCACGAATATGATTCTATGGTAGTATTCCTTTGTGCAGTGATTCTCAGCCCTCCCTATTAGCCTAAAAATAGGCCCTACCCAGACCAGTGACCTCAGAGTAGGGTCTAGACAACTTGAATTTTTAAAAGCTCCTTAGTTCATTCTGGGATGCAGCTCAGACTTAGAACCAGTAAGGGTTTTAATCAAATATGTTGCCCTACAACAAATAAGCTTGTAAGATAACACCATGACAGCTGATTTTTCTTTGAATATTTGAAAACTCTTTTTTGAAAGTGTTTTCTTACAGTTGTGACTGTGAGACCAGCGGGGTCTGGCAGACTTGGCCGCGTGTTCGGGAGAGCCCAGGGGCTGGCCTCCGGTCAGAGCCTTCAGCGCTTTGGGGAAGTAGTTTTCTCGCGAGGTGTTTACATTGTTCAGAACGTATTTCTTTTAATTGTGCTGGATAGCAGTTTAATCTAAGTTTTAGAACATTGGTTAAAAGACTGTTGTAATTTGTGTAGCCTTGTTAAATGGCACAATGAAAAGACTTCAAAATCTAAGGCTCGATGTAGCTGTAAGGAATTATGGATTATTTTAGGAATCTTGAAATTTATTAAATCAAAATCAAGGTTTATATTATGTGAATGAAATTTTCAAGTATGAAAACCCTTTTGCCTGTTTTTCTGAACAATTACAAATACTTGCTTCCTTGATCTTTAGACACTCTGTCCCAAATTAGAGTAAGCTGTGTTCGGTTAACAATGGCATAAGCAGCCTTCCGATCACGTGTTTGTAGATAGGTTGGAAAGAATATCTCCCTAATGATTATTGCTAGAGTTTGTTCCCGGAGTAAAGCAAAGTCTCTTATAATAGAGATACAGTTTACCTAAG